GGATAAATATTTTTTCAGTGAGAACATTTTTTTCTATTTTTTTTTTATGTCTAGAATGTATGTGCTCCTAACCGCTAGCCTGACTAGACGCAGACAAGAAAAGTAAATTAAAAAATTAGTTTCTGTACTTAAATTCGAACTTCTAATTTTTGTAAATGCATATACATACATGCATGTGTACATATGTATGTATGTATGCATATTTTAAAAAATATTAAATATTAATATTTTAAAACAGGGACCGAGAACAAATTGTATGATCGAAACTAAATGGCGTTCTCGTAGTTTTGTTCCTAAGAACGCGTCAAAAACAAAACCAAACTGAGAACAAATCTGACGAGAACGTTCTCATTGGGAATTATATAAGAACAAAAACCCTGTGGAACGTTCCCAGAGAGAACAAAATGCGAACAAAACTTTCGAAAACATTTCTAAGAGAATAAAATGCTAAGAAATTTCTCTTGAACATTTTGGCAAAAAACGGGAACAAAATTCTAAGGAACTTTCTCTCGAAGAACAATTCGGGAGCTATAGTTCCAGGAACTTTCTTACAGAGAACGAAAAAGGGAACAAATCTTCTCTGAACTATCTCATAGCGTTCCATTACTTTGAAATGTTTAAATATTAAAGTTAATCAAAAAGAACTGAAACATAATTATGCAAATAAGGTTAACGAAAGACTTAAGACACGAACTTTTCTTTCACAGAAAATGAAAAATTGTTCCATAAATGGACAGTTCACCCATGATGATAAAGAATCTGGAAGTTGAAATGATCCAGCTTTCCTCTGGCTTAGGATCAACTTCCGTGGTTCTCACTGAAACTACTTTTCCTCCGAACACGTTTTAACGTCTTAACGTTAATTCTCAAAACTTTTGTTCTCGCTTTGTTCTCTAGCAGGGCGTTTCCCAGACTTTTGATCTCTTTTTCTTTTGTGTTTTATTTTTTCGCTTTGTGTATTTCGGCTCACCCTGGTGTTGCTTTTTGTCAAGTGAATTATCAAATAGTTGGTGCCGTTCCCCTTATAATTGTTGTTGTCACATTCTAATTTCGGTCGTTTATTTGGTTGGCCCCTTTATGTTGTTGTTATTGGCACTAGAAGTGCATTTGGTACATTAGGTTGGTAGGCCACTTTTGGTACAAAAAGTAATAGGGCATTCGCATGAGGCGATTTTACAGGCAACAAAAGTTGAATACGAAGTTGAATGAGAAGTTGAAAGTGAAAAAGTTGCCATCCCTTTTCAGACGAGGCGATTTTGGATTCAACACGAATCGTTATTTACATTAATGAAAATGAATTTAAATCGCAAAATTGTATCAATATGCGTAAATTTGGTAAGCCAAGCGTTGGTAGAAATGCTTTTAGCGAAGCTGAAAGATAAAATAAGAGTAAAAAAGTAGAAAAGAAGAAAAAGTATGTATACAGAACAGTGTTGGCATTTTTGGTACAATTGTACTTGTTTGATACAATTTCATTTACAATATGTGACCTGGTCTACGGAAAGGGGGCTTAGGTGTCAAAAAATCAATTTTCACTTTTTGGTTGATTCGGATGGAAGATGAGATGCTTTTCACTTTTAACAGCTTTTTCACAGAAAACTAGTTTTCGCACGTAAGCTCCCTTTTCGTAGACCAGGTCACATATACTTTCCTACTACGCAGACTTTTTAATACAATTTTGTAATCAATACTAAAAATATATAGCCCTGAAAATTCACAGGAAGAAATTTTTTGTATTCTCTTTTGTTCGCCTGTTCGTATTTACCTTTGTAAGTTTTGAAAAATGGCTTGAACGAACCAGTATAATATAGCCTAGGCAAATTTTTAAAGAAACTTTTCGATACTAAGTTTTATTAAAACAAAATGTCGAAGTCAGCTTCATATAGAAACAAAGTCTTCGTTAGTTATAAGAAGAGATTTTTTTAAATATAATACCTTTACGGCACTCACATATTGACAAGATTTTACTATTTACTTTATTATTCTTTTAATTTTAATTATCTGTTTATAAAATATAATGTATTCTTTAAGAAAAAACTGTATAAACCCAAGATTAAATCTTTGCGAAACATCCAAAAACCAACATACTGTCGTAAAAATTTCGAGCTTTATTAATATTCTTTAGTTTTTAGCCCATTCAATTTTAGTATAATAAAGTGCAAGTTTAAAGTAGCTGGGACTTACCGTTGAACTTGGCAATTTTTTTTTTGTCGACGATGTCAGCTGTCAGAAAATTAGCAACACCTTCATCAAAGAAATCTTAAAAAACTTTGTTATATTAAAATTTAATGGGCTAAAAAACCGCACACTCAAAATAAATCTAGGAAATCGAATTAAAAAGTTCGAAAATTTTACGAAAGTGTGTTGGTTTTTTTTAATGTTGCACAAAGTTTGAACCTTGGATTTGTATGGCTTTTCTTAAAATATAAACTGTATTTAAAAAGAATAATTAAAATTGAATAATAATAAGATAAATGGTCAAATCTTGTCGTAAAGTTTTGATAAGCACTTGAAGTGCTATTAAAATGTCAAATTTTAGTACTGAATCCAAAGGAAAATGTCTCTTTTATCCATTAATAATAACTTAAATATGCTTTATGTTAAGATGTATACCTGAAAATGTGTACATACATATCTGCGTTAAATGCAGTACATGTGCGCGTGGAATCAATTTGTAAAAGTTTAAATACGTAAACGTATGTACATAAACAATAAAACTTTCTCATGAATATCATAAAATCATTGGTCTTGAAGGGAATATACTAAGAAAATGTATGTGCGAATTAAAAAGTATATACAATTTATAGCCGAAAAGTACATTTTTTGTATAGATTTCGTACTGAAGGAACAATTTTCTTTCCCAACACTGATACAGAATGTAAACAAACACAGGGTTGCAAGGAAAAAAAGTTGAACGAGCTCAAAGTTGGCTGGCGACCAACTTTGTTGGAAGCGATTAGTTGAAAGGCCGTTCGGACGAGGCGATTTTTGCTTTCAACTAAAAGTTGCCTGTAAAATCGGCTGGTGCGAAAGCCCTATAAGCTGACCAAGCTAGAAATGCAAGTCAAAAAAATACATCGATGTTTTTTTCGATTCGATACATCGAAACATAGCATCGATGGATATCGATGTATCGTATGAAATCATCGATAGTTTCGATGCATCGAATGAAAATACAGTTTATTTCAATTAAATATATACAACAAGAAAATGGAACAATCGTAACTTCGATAAGTGTATAAGGGAAATGTATTAATTTATTTTGTCGCAAGAAATTTTCTATACAAAAGTAATCAGCTGTGTCGCAAGGTGGAAAATTTTGCGACAAATGATTCATTAATCCCACTGATATAAAGTGTGCCAGCTAGCAATGACATTCTATTTCGGTAAACTTATTTGGCAATTTATTATCATAATTTTTTCCTTCATTTGACTTTTGAGTGAGGAATTATGAAGTATTTTGATTTGAGTAAAAATTAAAAAACATAAAAACATGTCAATAAATTCTTGCAGCTTGTGCAAAAGCACACATAACGTTACAGTACTGATGTTTTCAGTCCATCAGGATAAGGATCTAAGCCGAAATCGGGCAGAGGTATGCAACAAAACCAAGGGTTAATTCCAGAATTGAAAAAAGCGAAAATTACGAAGCTAAAATTTTGCTTTGAAATAAGCTTACATAAAACTGGCTGGCACACTTTATATTATTTCACTATGTCGGTAAGCTATGTGAAACAATTTTGAAAATTGTTATTTAAAATCTGTCCTAATTTCCAAATGGTTTTAGGGCCGGTTACTCAATGTCTGGTTAACACTAGTCACACGTCTTAGACTCCATGCATATAACAGGGAGTCGGTAACGTCAATAACGATGTTTAACCGCAGATTAGTGTTAACCAGACATTGAGTAACCGGCCCTAAGAGTGTCAATATCTTATCAATTAATACCATATTGAAGATGGTATTTTGGTACTAAAGGTTCCTACTAAAAAAGTAGCAATTTATTAGTGCAATAACATTTTGGATAATATTAATAGAATGTATGTATGTTATAATAGTGCATAAATAGCACAGTATAGACAGTAACCAACCTTTTTGGGTTGTTGTTGTAGTATCAGTTAGCAAAAGCCCTCAGCGGCAGCGCTTCGAGCGTTGAGATAGTAATTTAATGTCAATTAGTAGAAAAGTTCCATGTTGAAAAAACTTTTTTATTATGGCGAGAAAATTTTACATTGCTGTGCCAATTCGTAACTTTTTACTGCTGGAAATTTTTGACAGTTGCTCTGGTGCAAAAGAAGTTGAGCAATTAAAATCAGAAATTATACAAAAAAGACTTGTCTTTACTGACTTTTATTCTTCTAGAACTAAAAGCCATGCATTTATTAGACGCATTAGTAATAAAATTAGAACAAAAAAATTTTTCAAAACCGTCAGGCCGGGTTGAAAATTTTCATTCACCTCATAGTTAACAAAAATTTACAATCCGTAGTACTTTTCTATCAATTCGCAAATGCCGTTTGCACAAAAAAGGTTATGAAATGCGTTTTATTTAAATCGTTTAGAAAATGAGTCATTTATATTTACCATTTTATGTGGAATTATTCGATAAATTTCGTTTTACACTATACTTTTTGAAACTATTTGGAGTTAACTATTTTTTGTTTCTTAAAAGCAACCCTGCGTGCTTGGAAGGCGTGTGTACCAATAATTTCATCCCTAGCATCCCCGAGGAAGGCAGTCGCCAAATTCACCGAAGGTTGTTTACTGGTTATATTGTGATAAATAGTGAAAATCCACATTTCGAATAGTTGCTAGAGCGAAGAGTTTGGAAGCATACAAAATAATTTTAGTAGTGTACATTGCACACAAAAATCGATGCATCGAAAAAAATACATCGATATATCGATGTATATCGGAAGGTCCCAAACATCGGTTTAATTCGATACATCGAATAGCAAACATCGATGTTTCCGATGCATTGATGTTTTTTTTTTGCATCCCTAGACCAAGCCTTATGCTTATCCATTCACCTAAAGATTTTGTACTTTTATTGTAACTGCTTGTTCAAATTATAAATTCTTTTCACATAATATTTAAAGCTTTTAAAATCAAAATTATTTAATGACATTTCCTTTCTGAAATAAATTTTAAAAATTTTTCATTTACAGACAAAAATTCAACTGTCGGTTATCATTTAGATTCGTAGGTGGGTGTGTTTCAATAATTTTATTTGTTAACGATCCGATATCTGTACGTGCATTACCAACTTCGTAAATATTAGTGCTTTAGACATGCCTAAAACAAGCTGGGTTTGGAAGCATGCTTTTGTGATGAATGACGGATTCGTCAAGTGCGATGTATGTGACACCAAGTTGCATTATGGAGTATCCACTTCAACTGTGCGCAAGCACTTAAAACAGAAACACAAGCTTCTGTATCGGTAAAGGAAAGGTATGTGCCGAAAAACAAACTTTACTTCATCAGAGCATACTATTATAAATGTATGTACCAAAATGATAACAGTAGGCACCCTAAACCCATATAATTTAAGAAACAGAAAATACAAAGTCTGTAATCTAGGCAGTTAAGTTGATACTCTGTTCCGTTTCATTTAGATTTTTGCATGAAGATGAAAATGAAGATGAACGCTCTGATTCTAGCATACAGGAATCATTCAGTCCCGAGTCCGCAAACAACAATGAAGAAGGTGTTATGATTAAAAGACCGAGAGATTCGTCATCATCGTCATCGCAAGAAGCCGCGCCTCCTCATTTTCTGTCAAAAAGACAAGAGAATATTACCAAAGCTCTCGCAAAAATTTTAGCTATGTGCCAATTGCCATTGTCTTTTTCGCACAGTCAAGGATTTATTAACTTCATGAAAGAATTCGATTCCGGATATAAGGTGCCGTAACCCCAGGAAATAAAATTTTGGGACTTGCATACAGTGAAGTGAGGGAAAAGATCACAAAGCGATTAGAAACAGTATCATCAGTTTCTCTGACAACTGATGAGTGGTCTTCATTGGCAAATGAAGGGTATTTGTCCACGACCGTACACTACATTGATTATAGCTGGTCTTTGTGTACACATACGCTAAATACTGTTGGCATGGAAGAGCGCCCT